CTTGACCATAATCTGGAGCAGGGTTGTTCCATAGAATATTCTGCAATGATGGAAATATTCTAGATCCGCGTGGTCCACTATGGCAGCCACTGACCACATGTGGCTCCTGAGCACGTGAATTGTGGCTAGTGTCACTAAGGAACTCAATTTTACATTTATTTATTTAGTTAGTCTTTTGAGACAGGGTCTCACTCTGTCACCCAGGCTGGAGTGCTGTGGCATCATTATAGCTCACTGCAATCTCAAACTCCTGGGCTCAAACAATCCTCCTGCCTCAGCCTTCTGAGTAGCTGGGACTAGAGGTGTGCACCACCATGCCTAGATAATTTTTTAATTTTTTTTTGTAGAGACGAGATCTCACTATGTTGCCCAGGCTCGTCTTGAACTCCTGGCCTCAAGTGATCCTCCCACCTCGGTTTCCCAAAGTGCTGGGATTACAGGGGTGAGCCACCGTCCCTGGCCTAAATTTTAAATTTAATTTTAATTAATTTAAATGTAAAGTTAAATAGTCACATGCAGCTGGTGGCCACTGCATTGGACAGCACAGTTCTAGACCTTTCCTGCCCTCACGTATGGATGGACATTCTGACTTTTTAAGCCACTGTAGATTACTTGAAGAGGCTTTACTTCTTATTTTAATCTCCAGAGTCTGTGTGGATTCTCATGGACAAAACAATTAAAGTGTTTGTGCTGGGGAGCGGCCTTCCTCCTGAAGCTCACCTTGCTTGCTGGGAGATTCAGGTGACTTCACTGATGTAAACATGACACTGAGCCAGGCCTGGGGCAACTGCCAGCTGCTTCTTGGTATCAGGCGAACTGCCTACACCTCCTTCCGATGTAACAATGGGGCCCTGGGCCCTGGAATCTAAATATTTAGTTGCTTGGTTGCTGGCAGTGAAAGGACAATAATCCTATTCCTGTTAGCAGAGTAAATGGTGCTCTTGAAAAACGGAGGGCGGGTCCCCACCTTCCTTCCCAGTGAAGTAAATGCAGTGACAACGTGTCCTCAGTCCTTGAGGTTTGTGCATCTGGAACAGTGTCCCTTGCAGCAAAGATAAGGACCTTGGACAGATGAGAAGGGCCCATGATCTTCACAGGCCCCACCACCTGCTGGGCTGATTAATCGTTTTCGTCATCTTTTATTGGGAATCCAGGGCTTCTGTCCCTTCTCTGAGAAGGACTGAGAGCTCAAAATACTCCCTGTGCCCCTGTCAATCACGGCAGTCTCCTCTGGGCCAGCAGCTGTCCCGCAGGTACCTGGGGAGGAAGGGAACTGCTTTCCCCCTACGTCCAGAGACTGTTTTGCTTTTTAGTCTACTTAACTATTCACTTTCTAGTTGGTTATGTGGAGCAACTGTTTATTTCCCTGTTAAATTCTAATCTGATGAAACAGTTCATAGGGTTGTATGTAACTCTGAAAAGGGCCTAAAGTTTCATTGCTACATTAGGCTGGTTTTTAGAAACGTAGTCTGGGACTGTGCTGAGGTATTCTAGAAGCCTCAGAACCTGCGCCTCCACTGATACCCGCTGGAGCATCATTTGCAAGTACAGCTGGACACCGAGGCAGTTTGCGATGTAATCTAACGTTAGTATGCCACTTAAGAGTCTCCTTCATTCTCACGATGCATACTAATAAGTATCTCCTTGATGGGAAACTGAAGGGCTTAGAGTAAAGTGGGTTGCCTGAATTCACACTGAAATGAAGGGCAGAGCAGGGCCTGGATAAATGCTTTCTCCTAGGCCAAGCCACTAAATTAAATGTATTTGGGCAGCACCACTTTAAAGAACATCTTAGCACAGGCTTGACAGGTGCTGCTTTATCTTGGACTGAGATTAAATACAACCTCAGCCACTGGTTGTAGCAAGGAGGTTGTGCCATGATGGAGCAGCCACCAGATTAACCGTGTGTTTGGGGATCTGCCCACCTCTAGGCAGGTGTGTGGAAATGATAGTTTGACGCTGGAGCTATTACTTGATGGCAACTGCCTTGTCTGTTTCGGGCTCATCAGAATTGTGACAATTTGAGTCCAGGTTAAGGAATGAACAAGTGATGAAAGCTGCGATACAGGTGCCAAAGTTTGGTAGTGGCATGCTTTACACAGTGACTGAACAGTGGAACAATTTCCACGGATTAAGCACTTCGCTTTCATGCTAGCCACTCCATCAGAGCATGAACCTGCCCTCACAAATCCGAGGTGAAGCGTTACTTAGAGTTTTCAGCCACCGCAATCTCTAGAAGGAAACAACTTGGGGAATTTCCACGTAGGGAGGAGGGCTTTGGTTGGGTTTACACTGTCTCACTGAGCTCTATCGCCCTCTTGCCCCTTTCTTAGTGACTGAGGACCTTTTGCAACTCTGGTGCCTGATGTGACATTCAATACACTGGACTCTGGACATCAGATCTGCTGGCCTGGGCTCTCCTGGGGAGGTACCCGCTTTCTCGTGCACAGCCTCCCCTGGGAGATGAGCTCCAGGACCTCCCTGGCATTGTGGACCCCGTGGAAAGAGGTTGAATAAGTTCTGCATTCCCTCAGGATTTAAGAGAAAGCAGGGCAGGCCCAGACTCTGAAGGTTCAAGAACAACCGGATTTGGATAAAAATTGAGGTAGAGGTCCAAATGTGGGAGGGGAATCTCCAATCAAGCCCATGATCCTGGAGTTGAAGATTTCCTGGATCTGGTTTGAGTCTAATAAGGGACCTCTGGCTTCATTTGTACCAAGCAGAAGTCGAAGCCGTGAGCCGGGAGGGATGGCATTATGCACACACAGTGGATGGCTGCTGGGAATGAAGCGTTCAGTGACATTTCCTCTCGCCCTGCCCTCCTCTGCTTTTGTGTCCAGAGGCAAATCCTCCAGTGTCCCCCAAAGAACACCTGTAATGCAGACAGCAAAGCAGAGGTGAATTTCACTGTGAAAAAGTCAGATTCTGCCACTCTTCCTGATAGAGAAGACAGGGCCTTAAAGGCACTTGTACAATCAAGGCCCAAACCCTTGGGATATCATTATCTGGAAAAAATCGACTTTATATAACAGCAACGTTTCGTGTCCTCTGACACACAGAGGTACAGTGACATAGTGCAAACATGAAAAATTCTGTCCTTTACTTTAGAAGAGAAATTGCCAGTTTTATGCATTTTACCACATTTTTTATCTTTTTTGTGTTGCATATAAGTGAATAATAAAATTAAGAGTTGGAAAATGAGATCCATGTCATCTGTGATTATGGAGGCGATTTCACATAATCACATTTATATGTACAACTATGGCCTTTTTTGGAAGAGGTCTGTTTTGCAAAGACGATTTCAAGAATGCATAATTTTTATAGGAGGAAGAATAAAACCATAGGAATCAGACACCAGCCTGTCCTCCAAAGCTGCGAAGAGGATCATAAAACTTCAAGTCCTGAATACACCAAATGTGTGAGTATTGCCACACCAAATGGACGTGACTATGCACGTGAGTCTCTGCATGGAAACAGAAGAACCCGGCTGCCCGTTTGCTTAGTAATTCCAATCTCGGAAGATTGCTACACGCTACTGTTTGACTTAAATTACATTTTTTAATCTGTCCTTGATTTTGTTTTTAAGTGTAAAAATGTGAGAATTTATCTTAATGCTAAAAATGTGTTGTTCTAGCCAAACTAGATTTAATTTTTGGATTAATCTCACTCTCTAAGTTTAATCAGTAGCAGGCATTATATTTAGTCCTTGACTAACAGGAAGAGATCCAGGCAACGTGTTCTTAGTCCTGCCACTATTGTGAGATAGTCTCTTTCACTTTCAGGCTCTAGGTGAAATATTTTATCATGTGATTTTACATTCCTTAATAGGGAGTATATCTCTCTCCCAGGGATACATCTACATCTATAAACATCAATCACTGATGTTTTTAAGGTGTCCTTTGAACATTAAATAACTGCAGTATGAACAGCCTAGATTAAAAAAGAAATCTGAACAATTTGATTGATGTCAGGTATCCAGGATCTATCTTAGGGATCCACACCACTGATAGGAAAGAGAGAGTCCCCTCTTCTAGTATATTTCGGGCATAAAATATTAAATAAGAATTCATAAAAGGCATATTACTCATCTTAAATCAATTCACCATGCTAACAACCAGTATCGAATATAGCTTGTGGTATTTAGCTCTTACATAGGATAAGTAAAATTCTTAGATAAGATCTTAAACATGAAATATGATCATGTAGCTCAGCAGTTCAGAGTACCTTCTCTGGGGTCAGACTGGTGGAATGGAATCTCTACCCTACCACATATTGGCTATGAGATCTTAGGTAAAGTTTCTTAACTTCTATAAGGCCCAGTTTTCTCATCTGTAAAATGAGGCAAAGAGATAGAGAAACAATAGATAGATATATACATTTACAAGAATTAAATAAGCTAAAATGTATTACATGCTTAGCATGGTGCCTGGAATGTTGTAAGCACTCAAACAACGGTGACCACGACTACAGCTATCATTATTATTATCATATTGCTGTAATATTATATTTCTCTTATTATTTGTTATCATTCTAGACAAAAACACTTAAAAACAATTGCCAGTTATTATATGATACAGTTATTACTGCATTTTACTCTCTTCCTTCATTTCAAATGAAAATTAGACCCACCAATGCAACAGGTTAGACCACAAGCCACAAATATGATGCTGTGCTTGAGAAGGCTCAGCGTCTCCAACTTTTAAAGAGTTATGGCATTTCTGATCTGGATGGTGTCTCTACAGGACATCCATATCAGGCCCTTCATCTACAGGAAAGAGTGAGGCTTCACCAGGGTCAAGTGGGAAGAGCACCCAGCAGGGAGCAGCAAGAGTGGTGTCCAGGATGAGAGCTCCCCGGCCAGCCTCTTCCTGCTCTGGCCTTTAGGATTCTGCAACAACTCCTTTTTGAGTCGGCTTTTTCCTAAGTAACACACTTACACACACACACACATACACACACACACACTGCAGCAGGAGAATGTCTCCCAGAATTCTCCTTACCTGTTTGGAAGATGACCCACTTGAAAACCGGGTTCTCTCAAAACTTGTCTCTGGCCCCCAAAACTGATCTCGTTTCTTCTCATTTGGGTCTTTTCTGCTTTCCTGTCGTCTCAAACAAGCCTGGAGAACAGCAACAAAAAAGTGTTTGTCTTACGTCTATGACTAGCTTTGGGAACTTTGTGCTTAATTCCCATTGTGAGGAGTGTGAAATAAATAATATACATCGCCAAGTATTCATCAAATACCTCTTACCAAGTACAAAGACCGCGTATCACTCTCTCTTCCCTTTGCCCAAAATGCCAGGTCAGAAATATTAGTCGTTGCTTTAACCAATTCAAGCAATAAACATACCAAGAGGCATTTTGTCAAGAATTTATCCAACAGTTACCTTCTCAAGGACAGTCATCCCTACTACACCTTGTTAACTCTCTTTCTGGTCTCATTCTCTTCCTAGCTCCTCCCTTTTCCCAGGCCTGAGTGGCGGGATAAACACGCTCACACGCCAGAGCTTCAGCACATGCCGCAGCCTCCACCCGGAAGCCCCGCTGTTAGATGATCTCTTGGCAAATCCTGCCAATCTAAGAACCAGCTCACGTGGCCTTCTTCTCCTTCATTTTTCCTGACTTACTACTCTTCTCCAGGCTGAATTAATTGCTGGAGATGCAATGCATATCAATTCAAGCTAACATATTAATGCAAAGCTTGAATTGTACATATTTTTTCCTGTTATAGTTAGCTGTTTGTTTCTGAGCCTGTTTCTCCTGCCAGTCAGTGAGAACTCTGACAGTGACTTCCTCTTATCTTTTGAATCTCCTAGCATGTAGCATTTAATTTTAGTTGAATTGCATTTTTGCTTTGGAGGAAGATATCAATCCCTAAATGCAAAATAATAAAAATAAAATAACTGACAAAAACAACTTTCCTATTTTTCTGAACAAAATTAAAATCTGGTACCAAAATATTTCTCCTCCAGTACTAAGACTGAACAAACCCAAGGATATCATGTACTATGGGGATTTCAACTGATATTTTAAACACCTCAAAGCAGTAAAATTTCTAGGAGCGTCTTTATGCTCGCAGATCCAGTAACCCAGTTCACCTTTGCCCTGCCAGGGCCAAATTATCCACCGTCACAGAAAAGGAATCCAGTGTAAAGACCAACAGCATTGTTTCTAAACTAGGCCTGACATCTGTCCCTTAGATTCCTTTGGCATTCTTCCCCTCCCGTTAGAAAAGCATCTCCTTCCGAGATGTGGTAGGACTTACCAGAATTTCAGGCCATGGGGCAAGCCTAACATTATGCTGCAAGGTTAAGAATAGAAATGACCTGATACCAACAAAACGTTTACTACTTGGAATTGGAACAGTTAGTCACACTGTGCTTCACACTGTGCAGCCTCCAGGCTCCTCCCGGCAGCCAGATGGTCACCTGCAGCAAGTGGAATCCCGGATCCAGGAGAAAGATGCAGTTTCACTCCGCCTTGCTTGGGAAGGGAGAATATTCCAGGATGATTTTTTTTTCCTCTCCCATAGTTCATCTCACTTTCAAAAACAATGCCACGTAGATATAAATCATTGTAATAGATACTGGGCAGTGTTTGTCTTAATAATTTAAATAAGAAAACCAAAAGAATACTAGACAGTAACTATAATAAATAAGTTAAACAAACACACACCAAATAATAAATAAACCAAGGTAGCCCAAAGGGAGTCAGCTGGAGAACTTAATGAAGTTCAACTAAGCATGTGCCTTTCTTTTTCTGTTCCTTTTATGATGACTTCAAATTGGAGCTTCTGTCTGGGAGGAGCCCTGGCTGGAGTGTTGTTTCCGAAAGGGGCAGATGTCTGTGTCGTCCTAACCGACTGGTATTAAAGGCGAAGGAACATGCCCACGGGCTGAAAGTGGAGGAGGCAGTGTTAGCAAATGCATGCAGGACCAAGGCAGATTTTGTGGGATGAACAGAATTCTTGTGGGCTGAGTGTTTCTTGAAAATTCTCTCCAAGAATGCATACGACTTAAATATTTCTTTACCGAAGGGGAGGAGGAATAGATTGGTTTGCAACGTTGAAAAAAGAAATTTTTCCCCCTCTAGTTCCTTGGTCCTCCTCTCACAGAGGAGCAGAACAAACCAGTGGCAAGGTAGGTACCGCCTAATTTTTATTTTGATACAGCTGAGCGATCTTTCTGCGTGAATCAAACATTAATCCTCTCAGTTATAGCTTCGCTGAGAAGGAGCACAGGAACAGAGCCAAATCCAGACTTCCAGTCCTAGAAACAGCAAAAACCTAGCCATGCTGCCCCCAGGGGCTAGTTTTCTTTGTATTTGTAAATTTGAATGATTTTTGTCTTTGTTCATGATGCTGTTTCTACACTGGGGGTCCTGAGGTGAGACCGGGCAGGGCAGGGTGAAATCCGTGGGTCTGGGAGGAGGAACGGATTTTTAATTCATAACCACAGTGGCCACCCTTCCCCTGGACTTTAAAAACATTCCCCTTCCAATTGCAAGTGTCAGGATTTAGAAGGCTATAAATAAGTTTCTGATCACGTGGCCAAACTGGCTGAGGGCAGTCTTGAAATTGAAGGCTTCAGGTAACTTTTCTCGTTTCTTCCTTCCTGGAGAATCAGGGTTTCTACTTCCCTGCCCCTTTGGCATTGCCCCTGCCCCCACCGGCGTGTCCCTCTGACTACAGCACACACAGTCAGGCTGCCTTCTGTGCAGAAGCCACCCCTGTGGGGGCAAAACGCAGAATGTGCACAAATGCCTGTGGGGGATGATGTGGGTTTTGTGAGTCACTGTAACTCAATCCTGGTAAACACGACAAACCCCAGCTCTGCCACTTTCTAGCATCGTGACCTTGGGCAAGCTGACTAACTCCATTGATTCTCACTTTCCTTGTCTTTAAGAGTGAGATGTTCCCGACCTGCAGGGCACAAGGCACTGTTGGTGATATGTCAACAGAGTGAATGGCCCATGGCAAGTGTTCAATAAAAGGTACCCATCGCCACCACAGCACCAGTGGTAGCCTTTTAATTGCTGTTTTCAATCCCATTTTCTGGTTTACTTCTATTTCTAAAGTCAGCCTTTGCCAAAGCATATGACTCTGATCTTGGTCGCAGAAGAAGAGAGAATCTTTCTGTTTAGTCCTGAGGTTCACCCCTGTTTTTCTGCCCTGTGAGTAGAGCTGTTTCCCAAGCAGGTCAGCTCCCCAGCCAGCCAACAGAGGAGCTCCCGTTCTTGGTCATTCAGGGTCACACTGTAAGCCATTTTTCTTCGGTACTACAGCTTTCTGAATCCCCAGTTGTGTTCAAAGTTTCTTTCTTTCTTTCTTTCTTTCTTTTTTTTTTTAGAGACAGTCTGTCTCCCAGGCTGAAGTATGATGGCATGATCATAGCTCACTCCAGCCTCGAACTCCTGGGCTTAATCGATCCTTCCACCTCAGCCTCCCGAGTAGCAAGGACTACAGGCACTCCACCACACCTAGCTAATTGTTTTAATTTTTATTTTTGTAGAGATGGGGTCTCGCTATATTGCCCAACCTGGTCTCAAGCTCCTGGCCTCAAGCGATCCTCCTACCTCGGCCAACCAAAGTGCTGGATTACAGTGTGAGCCACCGCACCCGGCCCTTTTGTCTGATCCCTCTAGTCATTATGTGACTTCAGAAGCCATTGTCACAGGAGCACTTCCCAGCCTTATAGCTCTGGTGTAAAAACCATCATAACTATGATCCAACTTTATGTCTCGATCCATAATGGATCTGTTCCTCTAAATCTGGGAGCATTCTGAGAAGTGAGAGTTGCCACTGCCTTCAGTTGGCTCTTTTTTTTCTTTTTTTTTTATGATCTAATATGCATTACCCAGAGTTTGGGGTTTGTTTTTTTTTTGAGTCTCACTGTGCTGCCCGGGCTAGAGTGCCGTGGCGTCAGCCTAGCTCACAGCAACCTCAAACTCCTGGGCTCAAGCAATCCTCCTGCCTCAGCCTCCCAAGTAGCTGGGACTACAGGCATGCGCCACCATGCCCAGCTAATTTTTTCTATATATTTTTAGTTGTCCAATTAATTTCTTTTCTAATTTTAGTAGAGACGGGGTCTCGCTCTTGCTCAGGCTGGTCTCGAACTCCTGAGCTCAAACAGTCTGCCCGCCTCGGCCTCCCAGAGAGCTAGGATTATAGGCGTGAGCCACTGTGCCCGGCCAGAGTTTGGGGTTTTAATTGTCATTAGTGACATTATTAAAGTTCATTAATATTAAGAGGTTAAGAAATCAAAAGTGTAAAAACAGTTTGACGTGATATTATATTTCCCTCAAGCTAGTTTATTTTTCCGTTTTGGCTGTGAAGAGTAGAGCAACACACACCTCAAAGGTGGGCCAGGAAGAGAATCCTCTCCCAGATTCCTATGGGAAGGGGGGTTGAATTATTATTATCTCCATTCCACCTTCCTGCGTGAGCCCCAGACCCTTTCCACTTGGCATAAAGTCACCTACCATGTCCTTGAGCAAATTATATCATGTTTAGTTGTTTGATCTGCACTTGAAAGAATCAAGATGAGTAAGTGACATGAAATGAAACCAATTTGAACACATTTAATAGATTACAGAAAATCATTCTGAAATGCCAACTGTAATCTTCCCCTCCAGCTTTCTAGTGGAAATTTAATGGCTAAATTCTGCCTCCAGTTACATAAACACATTTGACCCTCCCCACCCCCCCAAAAAAAGCTATGCAGCATGAACACTGTTGAAGAAATAGAGCCAAATTCTGAGACGGCATATAATTATATACTAGTTACCAGATTCTGAAATAGCATGTAATATGCCAAATAGATGTTTACTTCCTCTTGTTTTCTCAAAAGGGTCCCACCCAACCACTGAAAGGAGTAGTATCAAAATAACTCAGGGTGGGTTTATCCCTCCTTGCTTGCTGCTGGCACACAGACCTGCAAAGGCACTGCTAATTTGGTGCATACCAACCCTTGGCATATTTTAGGATGTAGCAGCAATGGTTTACACAGGAGGTTTCTAAGGGCTTCAATTTGAGCCAGTTCATTAAAGGTGAGTCAAGCACAGGAAGGAATACGTGGCAAACGTATACGATTTGGCAGTCATATCTAGTTATTAGGTCTTACACTATTTATACACCCTGAAATAGAGAACCCTGGTGTGCAAAGTGGGTCATTGTACCTTGAATGAAAGCCGGGATTTCCACAAGAAGTAACTGGCTAAGCTCATCAATGATCCAGGGTACCAATATCCACCCAGCACAAAGCCGACCTTAGTAAATTATCTAAATGTACATGGGCCATATTGGGACCAAATACCATATTTGGACTTTATTGAGGGGTCACAAAAGTCACACCATTGATTCTTAAGCCATTACTTTAAATCCTTTCTGGAACAAGGTAAGCAATAGGTTAAATAATATAACTAAAATTCTTTGCCGTTCTCTTTAAAGTAGTTATTGTGGGTTGCTATATACTTATTTCAACAATACTTAGAACATCTTAAAGACAACCATATTTAATTTTTGCAGACCTTGTGGTGAATGGTTTTGAAAATGCTCAATGAGGGTGGATTTGACTTTTAGGAATAGTCACAAGTCAGCTGGATCTAAGTCTTGACAGAGTTGGTGGTCATGTTAGGTAACACCCGCTTTCATGAATGACAAGACATTTAGTTCAACACAGAAGAGTGAGACTCAGCCCCTGCCCTTAAGAAGCTGTGATCCAGTTTGAGAGGAAGTCACACAAAAGACAATTGCAATGCAGTGTCATCAGCTCTGCACAAGAGGCATAAAAAGCGTGCTATGGTATTGGGGTGATGGAAATGTTCTAAAACTGGGTAACGGTTATGGCTGTGAACATGGTGAGTTTACCGAAAGTCACTAAATTGTACAGGTCGAATTTTATGGTATGTAAATTATGACTCAGTAAACGAGTTTTTTAAAAAGACCACTATGTGTACTACTATGTGAGTACAGAAATTCCCTTCAGTTCTAAATTAAAACTATGATCCTCACCATCTTTGTCAAGAGAGGAAGTTAAAGAAGGGAAAAGAAGTTAGAGAAGGGGTGAAGGTATAGGTTAGTCTTGCTGAGGTTCCAGATCTTGGGTCTGTCTTTAAATGAGGAGAAATAACTGCAGGGTGTCATGTATTCCAATGGCATTGTCCAATTTACATTTCAGATAGATTTCAAGAAAATAATCTGAAAGATGACTAGAGGCACGGAGACCAGCTGTAAGGATGTTGTAAGAGTCTTGGAAAGCAATTAGGGAGGTGGTGACAATAGGATAAAAAGGAAGGCACAAGTTCCTGAGCTCTTAGGTAAACTTGGCAGGACTTGGGAACTGGTGGGATGCGGATGAGGAGGAAGAAGAAGGGGACAGGGAGGCTTAGATCATCCAAGTGGTGGCAGGGGGGTGGACATGTGGAGTGTTGGACTTGAGATGTCTGTACGACGACATCCAGGTGGAAATATCCCACCTGCGGGTGCACACGTGATTCTGACACTCTGTGGAGACCAAAGATCATTAGCATAGAGGGGTGGTTAAAACCATGGCAGGGGATGAGCTGAGTCACAGCAACCTTGTAAATTAGAAGAAAATTGTGCCAAGGATGGAACCCTGGGGAAATTAACATTTGAGGGGCAGGGAGAAGAGGACATGGGAAAAAAAATGGAGAAGACTGTGAGAGAAACAGGAGGAAAATAAGGAGAGTGTGATGTCAGACAGCCAAAGGAGTAACGTTTCAAGAAGAAAGGAACAATAATGTCAAAGGTAGATGAAGCTTCAGAAAACAAGACCGGAAGAGGTGCCCATCGAATGTGGCTACTGACCTTAGCGAGAACATCTCAAGGGAGGGAAGGAGAGGTGACCGCGGCCTGGGAGACTTAAGTGTGTTTGTAGACAGAGCTAATAAGAAGGGAAAGGTCAAAGCTACAGATGAGAAGTCCGTGGATGGTAGGGGCAGGAGGCCAGAGGGGCCAAGACCTCAAGCTGGGCGCCCGCAGGAAGAGGGTCACTCCACTCTCTGAGGCTTGGGGGTAGGTGGTGTGTAGCCTGGAATGAATGGGAGGAGACCAAGTGGGTTCCCACCCGCTGGCCTTGGGTTCTTCATTTTGTTTTGTGTGTGTGTGTGTACATGCATGTATGTGTGTGAAACAGGGAGGGGAGTTCTTTGTTGAAAGCGTGGCGGTTGGAGGTTTGAAGAGAGTGGAAAGGCTTAAAATAGTGCCGATAAGAGAGGGAGCCGATGGACAAGTAAGTGTGTAGACGTGAGTCATCCTTCATTCTTTCCTTTCCCACCCTCCACCTCGCCATCCATCAGCAAGGGGTCTGTTCTGCTGCTATTTCCTGGGCCCGGCTGCTTCTTGCCACCTCTATTCCTAACACCCTGGTCCAAGGCACGAGCATCTCTCCCCTAAAATTGTATCGTAGCTTCTGAACGAGTTTTCCTGCTTTTTCTCTTGTCCCTTGCAGTCCTTTCTCCAGACCGCAGCCAGAGAGTGATCCTTCATAAAATATAAATCAGATCATACTACTCCCCAGCTTAAATCATCCAGTAATTCTCATTGTGATGAGAATAAAATCTAAATGACAAGTTTTGTCCTGTGAGGCCCAACATGATCTGGCCCCAGCCAGGCCCTATCAACTTCTTCCGCCTTGTGGTGTTCCATGCGTCCCCTGGGTTAATGCGTTTCAGCCACTCTGGCTGCCCTTTGTTTCCTCCAGTGCTCCAGGCTAGCTCCTGCCTCAGGGCCTTTGCACTCGCTTTCCTTCTGCTTGTGATGCTCTGGTGGGCTCTTTCCCGAGATTCACCTCCACAGCTAAATGTCACTTCCTCAAAGAGGCCTTTCCTGCTTGTCTAAAGGAGCATCACCTCCACCCCATTACCTGTTTGATTCTCCCTAGTCTATTTATCCGTAACTGGAACTATTTTACACATTTATTTACTTGTGTGTGTTGCTTTTTCTCAATCCTAGAAGAACAACTCCTGGAGAGTAAGGACCTTATTCAGCACATAGTAGGTTCTTAATAGATGTTGAATGAATGAATGAAAAGGCAGTGTCGAAAGCCCAGTTGAGATTAGAAAATAAAACTGCGATGGCTCAAAGCCACATAGTTGTGTGATTTTCTCCACTGAGGACCATAAAATAATAAGATTGATTTTTCCTATGTGTCTGTTCTGGAGACGATTTCAAATGAGTATTTCCAAGTGTGAGCCAGGTGGCAGAAGCATCTTTGTGACAAGTACATAGACTCCCAGGGTGACCAGTTCGGATGTTTAAGTTCTTATTTATTTTACAGAAATTTCCTCGATTTTATAGTCTTCTTATATGTGGCTTGGCAAATTGTGGGAGGAAATTGCTGACGCCATTTCTAGTCCCAAAGCTAAGCTGTATTATGCAGGTGAAATCAGGTTACTGAGATAGGCCTGGTTTCCTTGGTGACCCGGGAGGTTTGGTTATATTTGAAATTGCTAAGAAGGAGAAAAACCTGATAACAGCAGTTCTGTGTTTTCCTTGGGGAAGGAGCGCTTTTCAATTCTCAACCGAGGCTGAGAACATGCTTCCTAGACTGGCGAGGCTGAGCTTTAGCTGGTGGGATGAGTGACACTCTCTAACTGCTCCCAGAGTCCCACAACCCAGTCTGACAAGTTCTTCGTCCTATGCCAGCGCCCAGTGATTGCATCACGACTCCTCAGGCTCCTGTCTGTTTTGTTGGTGCCTGTAAACTCTGTAACTAGGATGACGGATAGTTAGCCTACTGTAGAATGTGCTAACCACCTTTCTTCTGGTGGGAATGACAACAGGAAGGGCATGTTATTTTATAAATGGTAGGGCGATGCAGTTAACTCCTTAATGACTTTTTTCTTCTCAGTGAGTTTGTCAAATGTAAGCCCTAATGCCATCTGTTGACAAGTGCTATGTGCCAAACACTGTGCTAAATACATTAAAAATGTTTCTCTCATTTCATTTTCGTGACAATATTATGAAGTGTGTACTGTTATTATACCCATTTTACAGATAAGAAAACTGAGACTCAGAGAGGTGAAGTGGCTTTTGATAGTCCCACAGCCACTAAGTGGTCAGTTTGAGATCTTAGAAAACTATTATGCTTATCATCTACTGACAATGCATTTTGAATTCTTTCTAAATACTGTAAGAGAAGGTGGAAGATTATTCTTGCTTTCTGCAGTTACCTGATATTCAGAGTCCACCTTATGCTGCATGTCTCGCAGGTATTGAACATCACTGACGAACTTCTGCCTGTCCCTTGCTTCATGCAACATGATTCTTAATCCCCGACCTGTATATAAAAGATAAATAAATGTGCTGTGATAGACTCCTTTGTTGGGCTGCCATATTTGGATTTATTTTAATATAATTGCTTTTATTCTCTTATTAATCTAATCTCCATTGTCTGAAAGGCACAGATGCGCCTTTCAGATGGCAGGGACTTCTTGTGTTGGTGTTGATATCCTTATAGTCCTCCTGTTCCAGGCATAAATAATGCAGCCACCTTCACTGGGGCTCCAGTGATACCGTTCTGGCTATTCACAGGGAGTAAGATTGACAGACACCTGATTCAGAAGCAGTTCCATAACATGACAACAAAGAAAAGCTGAGAATCTAGCTAAATTAGCAATGACCAAAGTCATAAGCCCCCGGTTGCTTAAATTCATTTATGCAACAATGACTGCACCCTTATTCCAACCCGGGCACCCCTAGGTGCTGGGATATATTAGAGCAACCAGCAAGGCAGACAAGGCTCCTGCTCTCGTGTTTCTATAGTCTAGAGTGGAAGATTGGCACGGAACAGGGGAACCCTAATCATAACAGGTGCTATGGAGCAGAAGTGTCGGACTCTTTGAGAGTTATTAGGGGAGGGTAAAACCCAGTCTGGAGGGGCCCGATGAGGTTTTCCTTAGCAAATGATACTAGGTTTGAAAAGGAGTGAGCTAGGCAGAGAGGACAGCGTCAGGGCATGAGGGGGCAGGTGCAGATGAGGGGGGTGGGGAGAAGTGCAGCTGGAGCAGAGATGAGAAGGGAACAGCACCGGAAGGGTTGGAAGGGAGGCCAGCTCCTGCAGTTGTCTTGAAGGTCAAGATCCCAAGAGTCACTGAAAGCTTCCAATCTGGGGAGTAAATGATTAGATTTGTGTTTTTAAAAAGCCCTTCCAGTTGTAGGATGGAGAATGGATGGTGGGGGTGGAGTAAAAAATGGAAGTGGGAAGACCATTGGGAATATATTATAGTCATCCAGACGCGATGAGATGGTGACCAGACTTGGGTAGCAACAGTGGAGGGAAAGAGAAGGAGGCGGGGAAGGGGGAGGAGGGGAACGGGGAGGGAGAGGGGATCATAGCTACTATTCACTGAGCCTCTGGAAGTGCTAGACATTGTTCTAAGCATTTACACATCTTAACTCACTCAATCTTCACAACAATGCTATGAGGCAGGCACTAGATCTCTATTTTGCAGGTGAGGAAACTGAGGCACAAAGGTATTAAGTAGCTTGCCTGAAGTTACAGAGCAAGTGAGTGGAAGAGTTGAGATTTGAACCCAGAGGGTCTCACGCTGGTGCCCACAACCCAAAACCATGATGGATTTGAGGGAGAAAACCATCAGGACATGGTGATCACACGGATGGGGCGAGAGAGGAAGTCTGGAGGAAGCTGCCCAGGTTTCTGGCTTGAATGACTAGCTGGTTGGTGCCAACATTCCCCTCAGAAGACACAGGAGGAAGAGCAGGTTTGAAGAAAGAACATGGAGTTTGAAGTGCCTGGAGCATAGCAAATGGAGACGGCAAGGAAGCAGTCAGACGCAGGGCTCTGGAGCTGATTAGAGAGGCAGCAATTTGAGCATTGGTGGGATTCTGGGGACAACCGAAGTTGAAGGAAGAATGAGAATTGAAAAGAGAAAGAGGACATGGGGCAAAACCGTGAGGAACACTAAAACTTAAGGAACAGGTAACCGAAGAGAAACCCTGCAACGAAGCCAGAGAGGCAGGAGGAAAGCCAGGTGGGCGCCATTTCAGAGATGCCGAGAAGAGAGGGTTTCAAGAAGGAGGTTATTAATTACCGTGGTGAGAGCATTCAGGAGGGTGACAGGGCTGAAGACGGATGGCAGTAGGTTGCATAAATGGGAGGCAAAGGACTAGAGGCGACACTTTCAAGAAGTTTGGCTCTAACTGCCGTGGCCTAAATTTATGACCAAAATATTTAAGCTCACAAAGTTACAAAATGGCACTGTTAATAATGAGACTGACTACTAGGCCTCATCTGCAGGGCCATCAGAGTCCCCACACGATTCCTGCTTATTGCCTAGTGAAGCTCTTTCATTTACTTCTGCACATATATTTAGATAACTACTGTGTGACAAAGCTCTAGGCTCTGGGGAAACAGGTTAGGACAGGTGATGTCCCTATCCTCAGGTGTATACATTCTGTGGCTTTCCCTCCCTCCTCCAGTTTATTCAGTTGTGTAGATATTGGCAGAGTCAGGGTGTCCCTGACTCATGGTGACCTAGTGTCTGGTCTGGTAGTTATGCAATCTCACAGGTTTATCGTGTAGCCCTGAGCATTGGGAAAACTTGTGCTAGTCTCTTGGGAGTTATTTTCTCTCAAGTACAGAAAGTTGGTCTTTGAGAGTAGGAAGCTGAAACTACAAGCCAATATGTAGTTCCACAGTCTACACGTAAGCCCTAAATTTTGTCTCTGAGCATATTAATAGTCATTTATGGGACTATATTTTAAAGGATCATTTTTAGCTTCTCTTATGAATTTGTACCTGCCTAGAATAAAGTTACATTCCCCCCTTTTCAGAAAACGATGGTGGTAAAACAGGCAGGAAGATGAGTCCCTGCTGCTACTGTTGGAAAGAGAAGCCTGTCTGAATATTAATCAGGCAGAGAACATAGGATTTATAATGAAAATATGTTAATGGTCACGAATGGGGCACATCCGATGGTCCACTTGGATGATGCATTTGGGTTGCAAAGTTAACATAGAAAAACCAGCTAATCTATCACGGCTTTAGTGCAGTGTTACTTTAAGGAGGCTTCTAAGTCAAAAGGCATGAAATAACTTTGTCTAAATAGGTAGGAAGTAACACTATTTGAATTACTTGTTAGGTTACCTCTGACTTCACAATCATCTACCAAATAAAGGACTTTAAAATTGCCTGCAAAAGTCTCTTTTCCCTCCCATAAACTCTTTGTTACATTGTATTTTACAATATTTAGAAGCATCAGGGTGTCACATGTAATGTCTTATTTAAATACATCAATACTTTGTGAGATTAAACAAATCCAATGAGCACCAAGGAAACAGGGTATTAGAGATAGACCAAGAAGGTGGTAGGTTACCTCAGTTTAGGCAGACACTCTCTGTGTTCACTTGAACTCCTTACTGCACTGCAAGTTTGAAAAACTGACCAGGATAAACAAGAAACAGAAATAACTGTATGGAAATAAATCCACATGAGATAATGCTTAATTCATGGATCTCAGCTTTGTGGGCCTACTCAACCAGATGGCCATTTGAAGCCAAGAACTTTTCTTCAGCAAGTACAGACAGGTGGGGTGGGGGGGCTGTGATAATAAAATGTGGGCAAGGCGCATGTTTCCAAAATAGCACTCTGTATTCTGCTGCTCACCCTTGAACTGCTTCTCAATTTAAAAATCCACTCAGAATCATGCACATTTCTGTTCTAAGTCTCTGGCGATAAGGTATTGTGCCAAATTTGTGCCTTACAAATCAACATAAGAAGCCACATCAAGTAGGGAGAGGGGAAGGAGAAGGGAGTAGAAGCCATGTGGGGAAGGAAGAACGGAGTCCTCCTTCGCTGAAGGCAAGAGCAAATGATTCTTCTGGGCCTCAAAATTCTACATATCTGTGAAATTTCAATGAGGAATATTCTAAGAACTTTGTGATATACACACATCTCTCTAGTGTCAATTTCCAATGAATTCAAACCAACTTTTCTTGACTAAGGGCAACAGTATCTGATTGCAGAATATATTTCTTAGTTCTCTAAAAACTCATATATGTGTATTATATACACATATATGCTGTCCTTTTGTTCTATAACCACCCTTGTCAAAAGAACTGATCTGAAGGGAGCTCTTTTTAATAACAAGCCATTTTACTGTTTTCTTATTATGTTCTTATATTAGAAATACATCATTAAAGTGAATGTTTTATTCGTTCAACAATAAAGGAAAATGTAAATTTAACCCTTTCTTTAGGCTGCAGATTCCTTTGACATGAAGTCTAAATGGCTATGTTAATACCTGACAATCAGATTTACAAATCCCCCTTTTCCACAATTGGGTGCTTGGAAGGATTTCAGGAGACCCAATTCAACCTTTTCCTCAATTAATTAATTTGTAATGACGAAGATTAAAGGATTTGTTTAAATCTTAGCTTTAAAAAAATCTTAGAGTTCTAAAATCTTAGCTTATAAAAATGTCTTTAAGTATAAGCAACAAATGATTTGGGGCCAATTTTCCTAACACTCCCTGAATACTGTGACTGCAGAAAAAGAGAAGGAATTGGTTGGGGAAGATGGGACCATCTTTCAACTCTTCCAGCAAAATTGGCTTAGAAAATTGAGGCAGAAGGCGGAAGGGAATGGGCTTGATTTGGGCAGCAACTCTTCATCTTATTGTGAAATTACGAGAGATGAGCGGTCATACATTGACCATCAAGCTCAGAAGAGAGGAGAAAGACTCCATGTGTAATTGGGAAACTCTGGAGATGAAATGTCACAGGTGTGACAAGCAATTCGGTGCTATCGTTAATAACAATATCAACAATTTCACACTCAGAAGCCCAAGGGGCCACAGTCTGGGTACACCTTCCCTGGACTTGCAGACCAGTGGAGTCTTCGGGGAAGTTAGGTACAGGGCGGGTGCCCGTGTGCAAGTGACCACCGTCTCCCAAACCTGTCCCTTTGAGGCAGAAAAAAATTGGGACTGGGGTCAGCCGGAGGGAGAAAGCGGCCAGGCCACTAGGCTTCACGCCCATTTCCCTCCAGAATCTTCCAAGTCGGAAGGAAAGCGTGTACCCCTCCCCCCACCCCCTCGGAGGACCCGGGGCGAGGCCCGGGCGAGGCGGCCGGTTACCTGGCGGGTCTGCCTTTCCTCCCCTGCCAGGGGCTAAAGGGGCCGAGGGACGGGGCGGGCGGGCCGGTCCAGGGCGTAGGAGCCGCCCATCAAGCGCACGGGGGCCGTCCCTGAGCTCCTCTTCCTCCTCCTCGCACTTCTTCCCGCCCTCTACCGGCCCCTTT